AAAGCAGCCAACAAGTGCTCAGCATATGTGGGAACTCCTTCAAGACTGTTGAAAAAGCATTCCAGGTGAAGCTGTCATCAAGGCAAAGGGTGGCTACTTTGACGAATTTGTTTAACCCTTTTTTGGTTACTACATGATTCCATATGTGTTATTTCATAGTTTTAATGACTTCACTATTATTCTACAATGTAGAAAATAGTAAAAATAAAGAAAACCCTTGAATGAGTAGGTGTGTCCAAACTTTTGACTGGTACTATGTATGTAACAAATAAAATACGGTGGATTGGAAATGATGCAGACAATTATGGTGATGGAAGCCACAATCTGTCTGCAATATTAAAGCTGATCTACCCCCTAAAAAAAAAAAAAAAAAAATGTTATTCCGCATGGAGTGGAGTTTAGTCTGCTACTGAAATACCAGTATTTGACCCACTTACACTCAGCAACTGTTGTGGCATTGTTTTTGTTACCCTCTGCTGTTTTATTGCATTGGATATTTGTTATTGTTCAGAAGGCCTGAACTCTAAAGGCCTCATGGTTTGTGTTGCACTTCTCAACTGCTAAGTAAATTCTGTTTGATTGTGATGATGTGGGAACGTGCTTCAGTTGACGTGGGCACTGGACTTGGTTACATTCAGAACAAAGGGCATTATTCTAGAGATGAAGATGGGACGTGCTACATCAGATGTTTTCATTGGAGGAGGGATCTGTTCACAATAACTCCTATTCATTGGAACACTGCTACCAGCAACTAACACAGGAACAAGTTTGTATTCAAAATATACTCAACAAAAATATAAACGGAACATGTAAAGTGTAGGTCCCATGTTTCATGAGCTGAAATTAAAATAATCCCTGAAATATTCCATACGCATATAAAGCTTATTTCTCTGAAATGTTGTGCACATTTGTTTACCTCCCTGTTAGTGAGCATTTCTCTTTGTCAAGATAATCCATCCACCTGACAGATGTGGCATATCAAGAAGCTGGTTGAACAGCATGATCATTACACTGGTGCACCTTGTGCTGGGGACAAAAGGCCACTCTAAAATATGCAGTTTTGTCTCACGCCACAGATGTCTCAGGTTTTGAGGGAGCATTCAATTGGCATGCTGACTGCAGGAATGTCCACCAGAGCTGTTGCCAGATAATTTTTAATGTTAATTGCTCTACCATAAGCCGCCTCCAACATCGCTTTAGAAAATCTGGCAGTAGGTCCAACCGGCCTCTCAACCGCAGACAGTGTATGGCGTCGTGTGGGTGAGTGGTTTGCTGATGTTAACGTTGTGAACAAAGTGCCCCATGGTGGTGGGGTTATGGTATGGGCAGGCATAAGCTATGGACAACGAACACAATTGCATTTTATCGATGGCAATTTTAATGCATAGAGATACCGTGATGAGATCCTGAGGTCCATTGTGAAGCCCATTTGTTTTAAGGGGTCTGTGTCCAACAGATGCATATGTTATTCCCAGTCTATGTGAAATCCATAGATTAGGGCCTAATGAATTTATTTAAATTGACTGATTTCCTTATATGAACTGGAACTCAGTAAAATCTTTGAAATTGTTGCATGTTGCGTTTTTAATATTTTTGGGGCAGCAACAACATCCTACCCCTACATTTAAAATGGAGTGCCTTTCTATGCAGTCTATTTAAATTGAATAAGCCCACCAGACAGGTTTATTTATGTTCTGTATGGTGTGTTACTCCCAAGTTTTCATTTAATTTTTTTACACCTAGGAGAATAAACATTAATCAAGAGAAACTCTGAGAGATGGAGAGGGATAGCTATATAGTTTATATTCTCATCTATCCATAGTGTACTGTCACTGCATAAACAGTTTTTATAATGACTGATTTGGCTCCTGTTCCCACTCATTTCCACAGAGATGTCCTCACTGTACTCCGTCACCTTGAAGATCTAGTGTGTGTGTTTAAGATGGACTACATTGCTATCGGACTGTACAGAATCACTGCTCTACAAATCATCTTACATCCCAAATAACTCCTCATTACAGATCAATATTAGATATTCTGTGCCTCTCCTTGCTCAAACTGAACCAATTAAACGCGCTGCTAGTCTTTTATGTCAGTCAGACTCAGCTGTTAGGAGCCAGTCGGTGTTAATGAGTTGGCTCGCTCAGCACTCACTGAGGGAAGGAGTTTCCTGTGTGGATAGAGGCTGGAGGGGAAGTTAATGTGGTGAAGCGTAATCACGAGAGCGAGAGAGAAAGGTCAGGGTTCTAGCACAGGGAAAGTCTTACTCTGGGGGAGAGAGGAGTGTGTAGGCCTATGCTTTTGTGTGTATGTGTTTGCTGTTCTCCCCCTCTCTGGATCTGCCCTTTCCCCACTGTTCTGCTCTGAGTAGAGGAAGTGACTGTCAGGGTGGCTGAGGTGATGTCCCCACTGTTCTGCCTAGTCAGGGTTTCCAGATTTTTGGCATGGGCCATGTCTGAGGCCTCCGGGGACCACATCTGTGGACCTCTTCCTATCAGACCTGACCCCAGTGGGGTGTTCTGCTGGAGATGGGGGGCTTTTCTTGCCGAGTGACCACTCCCCACCCTTATGACATTTACACAGGCCTGTTAACTGTGCTGCAGCAGGAACACCTGACCACTTAAAAACAGCTCTGCATCCTGCGGGTGGAACACCTCTTCCTCTTATAATATTATAATAATATATGCCATTTAGCAGATGCTTTTATCCAAAGCGGCTTAGTCATGCCTGCATACATTGTACGTACAGGTGGTCCCGGGCATCAAAACCCACTATCCTGCCGTTGCAAGTGCCATGTTCTACCAACTTAGCTACAGAGGACCACTTTCTGTTGTGATTTACAGAACTACAACTCAGCACAGCCCCCATGTAGCTCAGTTGGTAGAGCATGGCGCTTGCAACGCCAGGGTTGTGGGTTCGTTTCCCACGGGGGGCCAGCATGAAAAAATGTATGCACTCACCAACTGTCGCTCTGGATAAGAGCGTCTGCTAAAATGACAAAAAAAATAATGGAGATGAGCATGCAGTGGGAGCTAAATATACAGTGAGGGAAAAAAGTATTTGATCCCCTGCTGATTTTGTACGTTTGCCCACTGACAAAGACATGATCAGTCTATCATTTTAATGGTAGGTTTATTTGAACAGTGAGAGACAGAATAACAACAAAAAAATCCAGAAAAACGCATGTAAAAAATGTTATAAATTTATTTGCATTTTAATGAGGGAAATAAGTATTTGACCCCTCTGCAATACGTGACTTAGTACTTGGTGGCAAAACCCTTGTTGGCAATCACAGAGGGCAAACGTTTCTTGTAGTTGGCCACCAGGTTTGCACACATCTCAGGAGGGATTTTGTCCCACTCCTCTTTGCAGATCTTCTCCAAGTCATTAAGGTTTTGAGGCTGACGTTTGGCAACTCGAACCTTCAGCTCCCTCCACAGATTTTCTATGGGATTAAGGTCTGGAGACTGGCTAGGCCACTCCAGGACCTTAATGTTCTTCTTTTTGAGCCACTCCTTTGTTGCCTTGGCCGTGTGTTTTGGGTCATTGTCATGCTGGAATACCCATCCACGACCCATTTTCATTGCCCTGGCTGAGGGAAGGAGGTTCTCACCCAAGATTTGACGGTACATGGCCCCGTCCATCGTCCCTTTGATGCGGTGAAGTTGTCTTGTCCCCTTAGCAGAAAAACACCCCCAAAGCATAATGTTTCCACCTCCATGTTTGACAGTGGGGATGGTGTTCTTGGGGTCATAGGCAGCATTCCTCCTCCTCCAAACACGGCGAGTTGAGTTGATGCCAAAGAGCTCGATTTTGGTCTCATCTGACCACAACACTTTCACCCAGTTCTCCTCTGAATCATTCAGATGTTCATTGGCAAACTTCAGACGGGCCTGTATATGTGCTTTCTTGAGCAGGGGGACCTTTCGGGCGCTGCATGATTTCAGTCCTCCACGGCGTAGTGTGTTACCAATTGTTTTCTTGGTGACTATTGACCCAGCTGCCTTGAGATCATTGACAAGATCCTCCCATGTAGTTCTGGGCTGATTCCTCACCGTTCTCATGATCATTGCAACTCCACGAGGTGAGATCTTGCATGGAGCCCCAGGCCGAGGGAGATTGACAGTTATTTTGTGTTTCTTCCATTTGCGAATAATCGCACCAACTGTTGTCACCTTCTCACCAAGCTGCTTGGCAATGGTCTTGTAGCCCATTCCAGCCTTGTGTAAGTCTACAATCTTGTCCCTGACATCCTTGGAGAGCTCTTTGGTCTTGGCCATGGTGGAGAGTTTGGAATCTGATTGATTGCTTCTGTGGACAGGTGTCTTTTATACAGGTAACAAACTGAGATTAGGAGCACTCCCTTTAAGAGTGTGCTCCTAATCTCAGCTCGTTACCTGTATAAAAGACACCTGGGAGCCAGAAATCTTTCTGATTGAGAGGGGTCAAATACTTATTTCCCTCATTAAAATGCAAATCAATTTATAACATTTTTGACATGCGTTTTTCTGGATTTTCTTTTTGTTATTCTGTCTCTCACTGTTCAAATAAACCTACCATTAAAATTATAGACTGGTCATTTCTTTGTCAGTGGGCAAACGTACAAAATCAGCAGGGGATCAAATACTTTTTTTCCTCACTGTAGCTGTATACAGTCTTATGTAGGCTACATGTATTATGATGTGTTGATTTTGAAATCTTTAAAAGGACAAATGAACTGTCTTTGAAAATCAGAGGAGTGCACAACAACTCTCTGGTTCCTTGGGAGAAACTCATTTATGAATTCTAAAGTACCTTTCCTTCCTTGTCTCCTTCTTTATTGATCTGAAAACATAGCCTAGACCTCTGTGAAAACAACAGTCAGGCCACCAGGAATTAGCTTTTCTAAGCTGCCCAGGTATGAGAGTGATGTGCCCTAGATCAGTGCAGGTGAAGGCAAAGAGATGAGGAAGTGACTTCAGGCCATTGAGTTGCACGCTAACTCTCCTGTCTCTGTGCAGGTGTTCACCATCTTTGCCTTCGCCACCACAGGGGGTTACTATGGGACGACCCACCTCATTGTGAAATGTGGGGAGCTGGCGCCACAGGTCATAGATGCTGGGTTCGGGTACCCCTTCAGGTAAAAACCTCTCGCATAGAGCTGCATATTAACAACATTTATGCTGTCGTATTGTTTCTTCTGTTTTTGTGATTTTTAATTGCCAATAATGCCTACCTATGGTCTTTACAGTAAGTAAGCCTATCCCTGACACGCCCTGAAAAGCTATGCAAAACTTTCCGTAGGGCTAGATGTGTAAGCAGGAATTATTTTTACTCTCTAAAGCTGGTTGTAATATGTATGCAGTCACACATGGAAAAGCCATTTTTATTTGTCTGACAGTTGCCCCTTAAATGTTTTTGTGTTTATAGTTGAAATGGATTTGTGCCATATGATTACAATATAATTGATTTAATCTGGTTTATTTCTCCCTTCACCCCACTACTCTCTAGGTTGCCTAGCTATGGCCCTTTCAAGGTGCCGACGTGTAACAGGAATGCCATGAATGAGACTTACCTCCAGGGCGACTACTCCTCCTCTGCTGAGTTTTACGTCTGTGTCGGTGTATTCTGCTTCCTGTACTGCACCGCCACCCTGGTCCTATACCTGGGATACCAGCATGTGTACCGCGAGGGCCGCGGACCCACCTTTGTGAGTCTATAAAGATACTAGGGCTGACCCCATTTAGTCAACTGGTCGATTGTTTGTTACATAGGCTGTTGGTCGACCGAGATTTGTTTTTGTCAAGCAGCATAAAATGTTATGGCACATGAGACACCTGTCTTATTCACGCCTGTCTGAGTGGACTAATCAATTGCGGAGGCTGCGGGGATGGCACACAAGTATCACCAGTAGTACATTTACCATTAATTACCATAATTTCTCATCTACAGTGTTTGTTTGGTTACGGTAGGTTCTGTTAATGCATTCAATATATTATTGTAGTAGTGGACACGTTTGTAGAGCGCACAACCTAGGTTACACTTGTGAGGAAAAAGTTTTGGTTTATTTAATTCCATTTACGAGTTGTCAATTTATTCATTGTCTTTTGTTTGGAGCGCTCCTGTCAATCTTGAGTAAGGACATGCACCTGATTACGCATAGAACTAGGCCTAGGCTACCTGGCCTGCATGCAAATGTAGGCCTATAAATGTGCACCTTTGGGAATCTGATACTATTTCGATAACCACTCAGCATGAAAGGGGAAAAATGTAATGCTCTGATCCGGTGGAAATGTCATTAAAAAAAAACACCTACCTGATTACTTCTTATCCCTTGCGCAAATAGCCTACGGCTGTGTCTCTGTCCGGTGCTCACTGGCAGGGAAACTGAGGGCCCAGAATATTTTAAACAATGTTGCAAGTTTGCTAGCACGAGCTTCAGGCTGGACCCAAGTTAATAGTTGATACAATGTTTCAAGTTCCTTGCAGACAGGCCATGTATAGCCAATGTGATTTATAGGATATTTTTATCAGGATATTTTCTACCTGCGGGCTGCAATGTTTTTATTTGTTGGCTTTATGTAGGCTATTTTTACATATTGGCAATAGAAGTTACTTTTAGATTTGTATAATTTTCATTTAGATATAATTCTGATTAACCACATGACATTGATTTTGAGATTGAGACTGTAGCACTCACTCTGAGAAAACACTGTGGACCACTGCTACTCAACTTCGAAATGCCTAGAAGGCCCTCCCCCGCCCTCCCTTCGACAAATCTGATCACGACTCCATTTTGCTCCTCCCTTCCTATAGGCAGAAACTCAAACAGGAAGTACCCGTGCTACGGACCATTCAATGCTGGTCTGACCAATCGGAATCTATGCTTCAAGATTGTTTTGATCACGCGGACTGGGATATGTTCCGGGTAGCCTCTGAGAATAATATTGACGAATACACGGATACTGTGACTGAGTTTATCAGGAAATGTATAGGAGATGTTGTACCCACTGTGACTTAAAACCTACCCAAACCAGAAACCATGGATAGATGGCAGCATTTGCTCAAAACGGAAAGCGCGAACCACCGCATTTAACCATGGCAAGGTGACTGGGAATATGGCCGAATACAAACAGTGTAGTTATTCCCTCTGTGAAGGCAATCAAACAGGCAAAACGTCAGTACAGAGACAAAGTGGCGTCGCAATTCAACGGACACCGACGTCTTGCTTCCGGATAAGCTAAACACCTTTTTCGACCGCGATGCGGCCAGCTACCAAGGACTGTGGGCTCTCCTTCTCTGTGGCCGACGTGAGTAAGAGATTTAAGCGTGTTAACCCTCGCAAAGCTGCTGGCCCAGACGGCATCCCTAGCCGTGTCCTCAGAGCATGCGCAGACCAGATGGCTGGAATGTTTACGGACATATTCAATCGCTCCCTATCCCAGTCTGCTGTCTCCACATGCTTCAAGATGTCCACCATTGTTCCTGTACCCAAGAAAGCAAAGGTAACTGAACTAAATGACTATCACCCCGTAGCACTCACTTCTGTCATCATGAAGTGCTTTGAGAGACTAGTCAAGGATCATATCACCTCTACCTTACCTGACACCCTAGACACACTTCAATTAGCTTACCGCCCCAATAGATCCACAGACGATGCAATCGCCATCACACTGCACACTGCCCTATCCCATCTGGACAAGAGGAATACCTATGTAAGAATGCTGTTCATTGACTATAGCTCAGCATTCAACACCATAGTGCCCTCCAAGCTCATCTTTAAGGTCAGGGCCCTGGGTCTGAACCCCGCCCTGTGCAACTGGGTCCTTGACTTCCTGACGGGCCACCCCAAGGTGGTGAGGGTAGGAAACAACACCTCCACTTCGCTGATCCTCAACACAGGGGCCCCACAAGGGTGCGTGCTCAGCCCCCTCCTGTACACCCTGTTCACCCATGACTGGCCATGCACGCCTCCAACTCAATCATCAAGTTTGCAGACGACACAACAGTAGTAGGCCTGTTTACCAACAATGACGAGTCAGCCTACAGGGAGGAGGTGAGGGCCCTTGGAGTGTGGTGCCAGGAAAATAACCTCTCACTCACCATCAGCAAAACAAAGGCGCTGTATCAGTTTCATTTAAGGACCAAAGGATTGACAGCCGTCCCATATAGATTGCAAAATAGTTGGGAAGAGATTTTTGACGTACCGATCCCATGGCATAGTGTTTATGAACTGATATACGCAAAACGACACCGGATTTAAAATTTAGAATCTTTCAATTTTAAATTATTATATAAAATTCTTGCTACCAATAGAATGTTATTTATATGGGCGATACAATCTTCCCAGCTCTGCAGATTTTGCTGCAAAGAGACAGAATCATTAGATCATTTGTTTTGGTACTGTCCATTTGTAGCTTGTTTTTGGACACAGGTCCAGGAATGGCTAAAGGATTGCAATATTTACCTGGAGCTAACCCTGCAGATAGCACTACTGGGTGATCTGAAAAGTCATAGTCAATCGATCAATAACATAATAATACTATTAGCAAAAATGTTTATTTTCAATTCACAATCTGTAGAAACAATGAGAATAGAAAGGTTCAGAACTGTTGTAAGACATCACAGTACAGTTGAAATATATACAGTGGGGAAAAAAAGTATTTAGTCAGCCACCAATTGTGCAAGTTCTCCCACTTAAAAAGATGAGAGAGGCCTGTAATTTTCATCATAGGTACACGTCAACTATGAGCAGGTAGCTTAGGGCAGCAGGTAGCTTAGTGGTTAAGAGCGTTGTGCCAGTAACCGAAAGGTCGCTGGTTCTAATCCCCGAGCCGACTAGGTGAAAAATCTGTCGATGTGCCCTTGAGCAAGGCACTTAACCCTAATTGCTCCTGTAAGTCGCTCTGGATAAGAGCGTCTGCTAAATGACCAATTATTTATTATTTATTTATGACAGACAAAATGAGAAAAAGAAATCCAGAAAATCACATTGTAGGATTTTTAATGAATTTATTTGCAAATTATATGGTGGAAAATAAGTATTTGGTCAATAACAAAAGTTTCTCAATACTTTGTTATATACCCTTTGTTGGCAATGACACAGGTCAAACGTTTTCTGTAAGTCTTCACAAGGTTTTCACGCACTGTTGCTGGTATTTTGGCCCATTCCTCCATGCAGATCTCCTCTAGAGCAGTGATGTTTTGGGCTGTCGCTGGGCAACACGGACTTTCAACTCCCTCCAAAGATTTTCTATGGGGTTGAGATCTGGAGACTGGCTAGGCCACTCCAGGACCTTGAAATGCTTCTTACGAAGCCACTGCTTCGTTGCCCGGGCGGTGTGTTTGGGATCATTGTCATGCTGAAAGACCCAGCCACATTTCATCTTCAATGCCCTTGCTGATGGAAGGAGGTTTTCACTCAATCTCACGATACATGGCCCCATTCATTCTTTCCTTTACACGGATCAGTCGTCCTGGTCCCTTTGCAGAAAAACAGCCCCAAAGCATGATGTTTCCACCCCCATGCTTCACAGTAGGTATGGTGTTCTTTGGATGCAACTCAGCATTCTTTGTCCTCCAAACACGACGAGTTGAGTTTTTACCAAAAAGTTCTATGTTGGTTTCATCTGACCATATGACATTCTCCCAATCCTCTTCTGGATCATCCAGATGCACTCTAGCAAACTTCAGACGGGCTTGGACATGTACTGGCTTAAGCAGGGGGACACGTCTGTCACTGCAGGATTTCAGTCCCTGGCGGCTTAGTGTGTTACTGATGGTAGGCTTTGTTACTTTGGTCCCAGCTCTCTGCAGGTCATTCACTAGGTCCCCCCGTGTGGTTCTGTGATTTTTGCTCACCGTTCTTGTGATCATTTTGATCCCACGGGGGGAGATCTTGCGTGGAGCCCCAGATCGAGGGAGATTATCAGTGGTCTTGTATGTCTTCCATTTCCTAATAATTGCTCCCACAGTTGATTTCTTCAAACCAAGCTGCTTACCTATTGCAGATTCAGTCTTCCCAGCCTGGTGCAGGTCTACAATTTTGTTTCTGGTGTCCTTTGACAGCTCTTTGGTCTTGGCCATAGTGGAGTTTGGAGTGTGACTGTTTGAGGTTGTGGACAGGTGTCTTTTATACTGATAACAAGTTCAAACAGGTGCCATAAATACAGGTAACGAGTGGAGGACAGAGGAGCCTCTTAAAGAAGAAGTTACAGGTCTGTGAGAGCCAGAAATCTTGCTTGTTTGTAGGTGACCAAATACTTATTTTCCACCATAATTTGCAAATAAATTCATTAAAAATCCTACAATGTGATTTTCTGGATTTTTTCTGTCATAATTGACGTGTACCTATGATGAAAATTACAGGCCTCTTTCATCTTTTTAAGTGGGAGAACTTGCACAATTGGTGGCTGACTAAATACTTTTTTTCCCCCACTGTATGGCAAATAGAAATCCTATATGGATGGTGTTAAAAGATAGATGGGAGGTGTTGAATGGAATTGAAGGATGGGACTAATAACATCTAACAACAAACAATAACAAGATAACTAATAATGTAGGCACGCTGTGTCCATAATAAGTGTATGGGTTGTAGGTTGGGAGCTTTTGTGAAGGAGCACAGTTAGAAGGATATGGCATATGGAAGCAAACCGGATGGACATCATGAAAATGATCGGAGAGGTTGAGACTAGAAGAAGTTCAGGAGAAAGAACAAACACATTTTAATTATTGTAAAATTGACTGTGTCCATAAAATGTATAGTGGGTATGGGCTGGAAGTAGAGGCCTAGGCGTTGCTGTTCACTAGTTTACTCCAAGTAGGCAAAGGGTGGCAGGGTTGGAAAGTAATAAAGGAGAATATATATATATATATATATGTTTTTTAAAGGATGTGTATGTATATATGTGTGTATAAACAAACAAACATGGGGGATTGGAAGTGATGCAGACAATTACATTGATGGAAGTTACAATCTATCTGCAATATTAAGCTGACCTACCCAAAGCGCTGATCGTGGACTTCAGGAAACAGCAGAGGGAGCACCCACCTATCCACATCGACGAGACCGCAGTGGAGAAGGTGGAAAGCTTCATGATCCTCAGCGTACACATCATTGACAAACAAATGGTCCACCCACACAACAGCGCCTCTTCAACCTCAGGAGGCTGAAGAAATATGGCTTGGCACCTAAAACCCTCACAAACATTTACAGATGCACAATTGAGAGCATCCTGTCGGGCTGTATCACCGCCTGGTACGGCAACAGCACCGCCCGCAACCGCAGGGCTCTCCAGAGGGTGGTGCGGTCTGCCCAATGCATCACCGGAGGCAGACTACCTGCCCTCCAGGACACCTACAGCACCCGATGTCATAGGAAGGCTAAAAAGATCATTAAGGACAACAACCACCTGAGCCACTGCCTGTTCACCCCGCTGTCATCCAGAAGGCGAGGTCAGTACAGGTGCATCAAAGCTGGAACCGAGAGCTTCTATCTCAAGGCCATCAGACTGTTAAATAGCCATCACTAGCACCTTAGAGGCTGCTGCCCTATATACATAGACTTGAAATCACTGGCCACTTTAATAATGGAACACTAGTCACTTTTTAATAATAATAATATGCCATTTAGCAGACGCTTTTATCCAAAGTGACTTACAGTCATGCGTGCATACATTTTTGTATATGGGTGGTCCCGGGTTAATAATGTTTACATATTTTGCAGTACTCATCTCATATGTATATACTGTATTCTATTCTACTGTATTTTAGTCTATACTGCTCCGACATTGCTCGTCCAGATATTTATATATTATTAATTCCATTCTTTTACGTTACCTTTGTGTGTATTATGTGTATTGTTGTGAAATTGTTAGATATTACTGCACTGTTGGAGCTAGAAACACAAGCATTGCACTACACCCTCAATAACATCTGCTAAACATGTGTACGTGACCAATAACATTTGATTTGAGATATGGAGACGTTATAAATGAAACTGTCCCACAAAATGTGCATATGAAAATCATAACTGGCACACAGATCAGTAGAAATGGTACGATAACTTGGCACTCCAAATGGAAAAGGTTGCTGACCGCTGTTGTAGCCTATTACCGGCAACTTCAGGTGCATAATGGCAGAATCTGCGAAGGCCAGCAGCAGCGGGAGAAGGGGGTCGGAAACAGGTATTTTTCTTCTGGTTAGGCTATATTGATCTCTGAGTCCCTCTAGTAATGTGTGTCTAAAAATGTTATTGCAGTGCTTAAAGCATCAGACAAAGTAGCCTACATATAGTTGATTTTATTCAAACATAGGGTGTGTCGATGTTAGTTACCGTGTAGTAGCCTATTGCTACTACAGTATAGTGTAGCGTAACTGGATAACTATTTGTAAACCTGGTCTACCAGCCTGTGTACTGCTAGATCAGTGTCAACCAGTCGTAGTGCGGCTGTTTGTAGGGTTTTCTGAGAAGCAACACATCAACTGGCAGACCAATAATGGCATTGTGTGTGTGTAGATATACTGTACAGAGTAAGCATGTGCAGCTGATCTAGTGATTGTAATCTGTTAGCCACACAATAGTGCGCAGTTTGCACAAAAAAATTCACCATATCTGAAACAGCAAACATTTCCAGAATTAGACACTTCATATCTCAGCCAGATGCCGAAAAATTGGTTAATGCATTTGTTTAATCTAGGCTAGTTCTCTGTTAAAGCACCTCAGTTGTGGAACGGCTTGCCCTGTCAGGTAAGAGGGGCAGACAACATGGAGGTTTTTAAATGACTTTTAAAAACCCACCTTTTTGATCAGGTTTTTAATAAGTGATTTGTTTTATACATCCTCAGTTTTTTTTGTTCTTTTATTGTTTTAATGTGTAGTGTTTTGCCATTTTTAAATGCACTTTAAATAAAGTTTTATTTAACCATGTAACCATTTGTCTCTGGCTGATGGGTTAGGTTTATGATTAATGTTTTAAGCCTGGGACAGCTCTAACACCCGAGACAGATTAAGTTGTGAGCCTAATAGTTCAAATGAGATTCATGATTTAAAAGCTGCGTTCTTCCATCCTCTCCAACATGGTCCTATAGTGACAACCCTCCCCTGTGATTTTCTCAGGACCTGTTGGTGACTGCTGCCTTTGCCTTCCTGTGGCTGGTGTCCTCCTCTGCCTGGGGGAAGGGCCTGACTGACGTGAAGTGGGCCACCAACCCAAACCACCTGGTTGAGGCCTGCCAGCCCCAGTGCTCACCTGGAAACTTCCCCTCCATGGGAATACTCTATGCCTCTGTGGTGAGCAATTCGATTTAGTAATACATTTTATTCCCAGAGGAACTTATGCCTTTTTCTCAGTGTGATTTACAGGTATGTACAAGTCAAGCATGAATGACAGGGCTACAGGTATAGTGTCACATATAATGTAGCATTTGTCATTCCTTTCTGTTTGTATCCTGTAGCTCAGCTGGTAGAGCACGGCGCTTGTAACGCCAAGGTAGTGGGTTCGATCCCCGGGACCACCTATACACAAAAATGTATGCACGCATGACTGTAAGTCGCTTTGGATAAAAGCGTCTGCTAAATGGCATATTATTATTATTATTATTATTATTATTATTTTGTCTTTGTTTCGCACTTTCCTCCTCGTCCAGATTTTCGGATTTCTGAACCTCATCCTGTGGACAGGTAACTGTTGGTTCATCTTTAAGGAGACTCCCTTCCACAAGGACCCCAACCCACCAGCCACCATGGAGGAGGGTGGAGTCCCCAGCTCTTAATTTGCACAGAGCCCAAGCCAATCGCCAAGGTGCTTGGGACCCACACTGTTTCTCATGTAACCCTATTAAGAAGGAAACTAAAACGTCACGCAAAATTATGCTTTTTAATCACCAATTCCACACAGGCCCCTTTTCAATGACAGGCCTTAAGCTCAAGCTTCAGGGAAAGTAGTTAGGCTGTGTTTATTTACACAGGCAGCCCGATCCTGATATATATTTTTTTAAGTTCTGATGTGAAAAGATCTGTGATTATTATATTATTGGCCAAAAGGCCAATGAAAAATAAAATAATTGGGGTGCCTGTGTAAACACAGCCTAAGTTGCCCAACTCTAACCCTCCACCACAGCGACCCCTGGTTGTTGTTTTTATAGTTAATGTGAATGATTTGCTAGCTGCAGTCAACACTACCCCAATTTACATGTGTAAACCCTGAACAATTTTAAAAAATGGTATTTCCATTCCAAAATAAGTGACTTGCGTTAACTGTACGTAAAATGTATTCAGTTACTGTGAACGTGGCTTGAGTTGAACACTATGAAAGGAATCTGGGAATCTGTGATTTTCAAAATGTCTGATTTGGTAGCTTCCTCTAGAGCAGGTACTTTCAAACACATAGGCCTAGTAGAAAATGTCCCAACAGGGCTCGGACACACTACTGTAGCTGAACTGTGACTCGAATGGGGAAGTCCAGTAATGCTGCTGTTGACAGCACAGGCGGCCGGTTGTACCTTAATTAGGGAGGACGGGCTCTTAAGTAATGGCTGGAACAGAATCAATGGAATGGTATCGAACACATAAAACGCATGGTTTCCATGTCTTTGATTCCATTCACTCCATTCCTGCTATTATTATGAGCCGTCCTCCTGTGGTTGACATACACTAATTGTCTGGCCGTCAGTCCCCTCCTTTTCCATGAATCTGATAAAGGAGATGAGGTCAAAGGTAATGTTGAAATCACCTGCAATAGGTTGCCTTTCAGGTCAAAGTTTGGTCCTATAAATTAAAAAACAATTTAACTACTGTAACTTCAGTAACTCCAATATTCCACTACTACTACATGTTTTGAAACAGACCTCATGGATACATGGACGTTGCATTTCTGTCATGTTCTGAACACGTACTGCTTTGGTGCACTAAACTCGTCAGCGCTGTGTTAGCTACTTGATCCCACAATCGCTCCTGATGTTCAATGCGTTTCTCTCTTTGAAGTGTATGGCTTTTTGTCTTTGTTATTCATAATCAAATCAAAATCATTTTATTCGTCACATGCTTCATGAACAACCGGTGTGGACTAACAGTGAAATGCTTACTTGCAGATGAACATATGAACAGTGCCTTGGTTATTTACACCAAATATAGCAGTAACACCAACTAATATGGACTACATTCAAGTTGAGAACACATTTCTAATAACTGCTGTCAATGTTTTAGTTATTCAAACTGTCGGTGCCTATATTTCAGCGCAATGCTGGTTGGTGTATTGTTTACTCAATACCTGCAGATAACTGTTGCATTTTTGTGGAAATTACTCAAATGAAGCCAAACTCTTTTTAAATTGTTGTTTTGTAAAGTTGTGACATTGAAACAACTAAAACACAAAGTTACCTCAGTATTTGACTCTTCTCAAAATGTTTGTTGGACGATAAACCGAAAAATTATCGACACCGACCACTTATCGCAGGCATTTTGCTGATAACGTTCATTACGATAAGTAGCCTATAGTAGATAAATGTGAAGTTTGAAATAACTTTGCTAATATGGGTGATTGTTATAGCCATCAATTGTTCCATTAACAATCGTAGTAGTTTAAAGGGTAATTTTTTTAACTTGTTATAAAATGTTGTTCTATTTATCGTTATTGCATCAATTCAGGCATTTTATCGCGATATGGTTTTGTCTGTCGCCCAGCTCTAGTTTGAACAGGAAAAAGCGACTTTCGAATGATGTTATTATTTGGTATTTTTTTAACTTACATTAATAATAATACAAACTTTCATGGCTTCAGTGCGTTTTAGAAAATATCTATAACTTGTGCAACTTCTCTCCCTGAATAAGTTTTATGCCTGCATGGTTGTATTTTATTTGTTTTTTCTGTTTTGTCACACCACTGGGCTAGCTACAGACTCATTGAAGAATGGTAAATGGCGCTGCCATGTAACACAAATGGCAACATGTAGGTGCCAAAATTAATGAATCCTTCAGTATTTCTTGAACATTGTTTTTTTGTTTTTCTCACTCATTGGTCCTACATTTTAATTTAGCCAATGATTGCATTTGATGGTTATGTGGGGATGACCTATGTCCTGCTCCTATGGGAAGTAAATGGAACTTGTTATTTTGTTTTTGCACTAATTGTTTTGTAATTAATGTCATTTTGACATCCTGTTCCTTATGAGTGTTGTGATTTGAGGCCTCTAGTGATTTACATAGGGAAGGCTTAAGTCAATCAGTCATCAAAGGACACTGATCTTTTAGATCATTTGTGCCATTTTTTAATTTGAATAGAAAGAATCTAGCTTTTTAGGATAAATCAGGGTTGGCCTTTATTGTCTGATGGGATTTCTAAAATGTGACTTCTATTTTGTGCCTTGTTTGTACAAATGAAACATGATAATGTCTGTACATCCTCAGTATTGACACTGCATTAAAGGATGAGAGAGCTGCAACAACTGCTGTACTGATGTTTGTTCACACTGCTCTGTGACTGTTACCAGTTAATTAAGATTACAGTTAATATTTTAGCCACAAGATGGTACTATTGCATTTCATATAACTAAGGTTGCAAAGTAATTGTAACAGTGCTTTTTTTTGGCCACAAGGTAGTACTGTTTTCTACATATGCCCAATCCCTACCATAAACCCCTTTGTATGTACATCTACATTTAAGAAAAAGTTGGATAGATGTAAGCAATAACTAAATTCCTGTCAGAGGGCAAGGTGTTATACAAGTGCATGAGAGGTAGGTTGACCAGCAAAATAAAGTACTGAACCGGTTCGAACCACACACAAAGTAACTATCGTTCCCTTTTAAACCTCAAATGTCTTTTTTTTTTTTTAAATATATATATTTAGCTCAACATTTAATTACTTAACCAATCAGTGCGGATAGAGCAGCAAGCTATTGACATGCACAGGACAGACAAGTGTAGGGTGCGAGATGCGACTGAAATTTTGCAGGTGGAGGAGGCTTGGCATGAAATGCTGGGCATCTTGTTATGACGCATTATCTGAATTAGGCCCACATAATTATACCTACAGAGGAGCGGCTTCTATTCAACTTTGAATGTCGTTCAACTTCAGAGTTGGCTTAAAGGGAAATGTAAAATTTCAGCTTCCTATTCATCTCCAGCACCACCCCCAACAACATATGTGAAGATAGAAACGCACTATGTTTGGTCAAAAATATGACAACCAATTAGTAGTCAATGCCTATTCATATTTGGTTAAGATCACGATGCACACCGATGTCATTGGAAACACTGATCTTCCTTTATAAAACTTTTTTTTTTAACTAACTGGACCAGAGCTAGCTAACATTTTAGTCATTTAGCAGACGCTCTTATCCAGAGCGACTTACAGTTAGTGCATACATAATTTTTTAATTTTTCATACTGGCCCCCTGTGGGAATCGAACCCACAACCCTGGCGTTGCATGCTCTACCAACTGAGCTACATCCATGCCGGCCATTCCCTCCACTACCCTGGACGACGCTGGGCCAATTGTGCGCCGCCCCATGGGTCTCCCGGTCGCTACGACAGAGCCTGGATTCGAACCAGGATCTCTAGTGGGGGGGGGGGAAAATGCATGGAACGTAAAATAACGTTATTAACCAGTTCCCATGCTTTTAAAAAGAACGGTTCTGTTCTGGAACAGTGTAGACGTTGCATGCATCAACCAATGGTTGCACGCTACGTCATCGACTGTGCCGTAGGGCATCAGATTGCTAAAACGTGTTTAGCTGAGAAACTAGATTGTAAAATCTGGCATTCGTCAACAATGCCTGGGCAGAGGAATGTGCCCCAAATCTCAGGCCAATTCATGTTATGGCATTGAACTGTGCACGACAGATAGACCAAAACCAGCAGACTGTGGCCATCAAGGAGTTGTGCACGCAACCCCAGGGGACCCAGTCTGGGCTGGCCACACGACCTTGTATGTTTGTTTCGGTTTCAAATGTACTACTGAAGCACAACAGAGCTTGAAATAGCAAGGCCTTCCCATCTCGTCCATAGCATCCATAAACACTCAACAGACAGTCAAGTGACCTGCTCTTTGCCAGTTCCCTCTAGTCTGGTCCTCCCCTAGAGTTTTTTCGACTATACAGGCTACATGCGGGCGTTTCATGAACGCGCACGCAGGTACTTCCCATCCCTTTCGTGAACGCGGAATATGACGTAAGTCTCTTGCCGCGCAGTGATGATGGCGGTGCGTGAACGCGCAGTAAATGTAATGGCTGCTCTGGAACGGCGGGTGCCTAGTCTCGATGATTTCGTGGGCGAAAGCTGGAGCGCCTGGGCCGAGAGAGCCGGTGTGACTGCGTCGGAAGGTAAGGGAGCACTTTGGCATCGGTATTGTTAGATATCAAACCGATGGTCATTCTGTTGAGGTTTATTTTCGAGGAAACGGGCGGCAGCCTTAACCATGCTACCCAAACAAAGACCCTGCTGGGTCCTAGCGCTGGGAGGATAACGTGTTGCTCTGTCCCAGGTCCTAGCGCATACGGCGTCTTCCCATAAAATAAGTGATAATCGTTTCTATTTGATCCTCGTTATGATGTTTTATGTATACACAGACCATGAAAAGAATTTGACAATATTATCTTATTACAACGGCACACACCCAAATAGAACTATGGCCCTACAGCGGAAGGCGTCTTGTATTAGTTGTAGCGATGGTAGGGCGAACAACTTCTTGCCATGGAAAGCTAGCTAGCCGTATTAGCAATGAAGTTAAGCTAATAATGCTAGCAGGATGATACAGACACCGGCGACTAAGGAGGAGTCTGATGCTGTTGCCACCATGTAACATTTAAGTAATCTAGATTTTTATTTCAGGGCGAATTTTGAGCTATTCTCGATTGATGGAATGGTGATGTGACAACAGTTTTTGGAAATACTGTGTATTCGAGGCACAATTTATTTTTTGAGTTTCCATACGAGATCTGTGTCTTCATAGCTCCAAGTGTGTGTGTGTGTATGTGTGTGTGCGCGCGCATTCATTGTCAGGCACCGCTCCAAGTTCTACTCTCCCCTAACTTTCTTATAAACCAACAATTCTCTAACACAAAATTAACATAATTCCATCAGTGCACACGTGTATGAGATCTAAAATCATGTTCGTAACCTAAATCAAGCACCAGACAGAGGGGACAAATTCGCCATACAAAATGAAGTCACCTATCCAGTTTATTCCAAAATTAACATCCACACTGAAAGGGAATTCCCATATATACATCCTGTATGGAACCTGTACCTGCTGCTTATCTCTGTGTGCCAGTTGTTAGACCAGAGGTACAGGTTCTGCTCCTGACTTCCTGTGTAGTCAACACAGACAAGGGGATGAATCTCAATAGTGTCTTTCCCTCATCTCCTCTGCCCTTATCCACTGATATGGAAGAACTGGACTGGCAAAGGTGTTTGTCTTCCATGTTGTTTTCACTTGATCTGCCTTTCAGATCATTGCGGATCAAAGGAAGATGTAATGAAGGAACCACCTCTTGACTATTGAGATGCACCCAAAGCTTACTAGACTAGCCTTGCATGTGTATCCTGTATGTACACCTCAGTCACAGTCTCTGTTTTCAGGCTCCGATGGTGATGACTGCAGCAAGAATGGGAAGAAAGCAGCTGAGGCAATGTCTCTTAGGAAGGAAGGTAAGTATTTTTTGGAACACTTGTAAGATTACATCCTTCATACTTAGGTTTAGATTTGCCTCTAACATTACTGATCTGGGTCACCTAGCTAGCCACATCCGAACATGCCACTGCAGCACAATGTGTTTGTGTGTCCCAAACAGTGTGTGTCTCTCCAGATTTGTCTCCTCTTCCTCTCGTGCTTGTGGGTGTCTTGTCTTAAGAGATGAATGTGGTTGGGGGGCATGGGGGGGGGGGGCTGCTGCCTGCCAGGGTCTCTCTGTACCCAGGTGCCCTCTGGCAACCAGCCTGGCAGTCTGCAGCAGCAGCTGTCTGACCGACGCTGCCTCGTGTGTGTATTTGTCTGCCTGCTTTTGTTCCTGTGTGTTTTACAGAGAGAGGTAGACACTGTGATGTGTGTTTGTATCTATACATACTTTCTCCATGTGATTTCTCACCTCCTGTTGGTCCTCTCGCCCCCCCCCCCCCCACACACAGACATGTCCATTTTCGGCCACTACCCGGGCAAAGATGACTTCTACTTGGTGGTGTGTAGCCACTGTGGCCAGGTGGTCAAGCCCCAGGCCTTTGAGAAGCATTGTGAGAGGAGACACGGCCCCCTGAGCAAACTGTACACCCGCCTCCGCTCCCCCCCTCCAGCACCTCAGCAGCGCCCCCGCCATAGCCACTCCCCATCCTCCGCCCACACAACCTCATTCTGGGAAGGGAGGGGGCAAGGGACCGGGGCACCAAGAGCAGCCCCCCCATCTACACCCCCACAGTTCAGACACACCAAGCCCCCCAAGGAAGGAGTACGGTAAGAGGGATGGGCTAGATGGATCAAGGGTGGGGGTTGAGGAAGAGGAGGGATTAGAGGATAGGGGTGGCCTTTCTCTATTTTCCATGGTGAAAACCATCTTGTTATTGTATCCATAACCATCTGTGAGATGTATTTTAAAAATGTATTCTGATGATTCATTTCGATGTTTTAAAAATCTGACCGTCTCTCTTGTCCCTTCAGCCACTCCCCCCTGGATAAGAGTCCCCACAGCGGTCACTCTGAATCAGCCGTGTTCAAGCAGCCTCCACCCCTGGAGCCTCCCCTGAGCTCCCCACCCCCCTCCCTCAGAGACCCACCCTGGCCGCATGGAGGCACCCCGCCTGGCCGGCCATCCCCCACGCCGGCCGGCCGGCCATCCACCACCCCGCCCGGCCGGCCCTCCACTAGTGAGAGGACACACACCCAGAGAAAGGAGGCCATATCGGTCGCTACCCTCCCTGGCCATCTCCGTGGACCAAGACCTTACAACAAAGTGGCCTCCAGTGAGTCTTTCTTTCCTTTAACTGTAATTCATGCAGGTTTGGGTCACAGAGATGAAATGTCTTTTTTTAAGAGAGACGGGCCTCCCCCTCTGAACACAAGGAAAGGAAGCTAGTGTAGACTATTGAGTCACAGCTATCTGATGTTTGATTGCTATTAAGACACTCTTCTGTTCCTGTCATCTCCAGGGAGAGAGTGTGATCTAGACAAGCACTGTGGAGTACTGGACTCCGAGAGGAAGAAAGTCTGCACTCGTCTCCTGACCTGCAATGTAAGTTCACACTCACCCGCTCATATAAACTGTCATCTTCCTTCTCTATCCCCGTCTCCTCTCTTCTTGTCCTAGCGATGACGTCACAGCACCAATTTTCAACGACGTAGCGTTTTCACCCCCCCCTTCTCTGCCTGTGTGCACCGTTGCTGTGACTTCTGTTGCACAGACAGCTTCTCACACTCATTTGCGGCAGAATTTTGCGGGAAAAGTCTCTAAATGCTATCAAAATCATAGAAATCTTCAGTGTCAAAACTCCCCAAAGGCAGCCTGAAAAGTAACAGAATTTGTTGCTAGCCACTTTTACCAATAAAAGTTGCTGGATGGGTCTGAAAACTCGCTAAATATAGTGACAAAGTTGCTAAATTGGCAACACTGGGGGTGAAAGTAAGTCAGTCTGAGACGGAGTACTGGTAAAATAAATAGTGAGGGTACGCCGTACCGGTTGAACATGAGCCTATCACAAAAATTACAACTGTTGGCTGTTACACTTTTATTTATCATTATCGCATGAAAAATGTGCGAATATACTGGAAAACGTGTGTAATACGCTCCAAAATGCGAGGTGGTTCGACGATAACAGTTAAATTTTGCAAAGGCAGAGACGAGTGACAGAAACGCGCGCGGACAGTGGATGCATCAATTCAGGTTACAAGTGTAGACCGTATGTCAATGTCATTCATTACACTTCTTGGTGTTTTGTTACAGATGTCTCTTTACATTCATCAAATGGCAGGTGCACTGTATGACTGCGGAAATTATTTTAGGGTGGACGAATGTGCGCAGGGAGCCTTTTGAAGTGATTGTTTAGCAATCAGATTAAAACATTGCTGGTTATGTTTATGCCACATTAGAAGGTTGCATAGGAGGTACCATACTGGTAAGAAATTAAATATACTTTAACCCCTGGTTACAACTGATCTATTTGTTTAAATAACTTATCTGGCTCCTCCATTGGAGGTCCCACCGGCAAGAGATGGGAATCCCTTTCCAAAAGACAGTCAACGATATATGCCAAGAGTAATAACTTGGATCTTTCTTTTTATCTGTGATTCAGCACAGTAAGAGAAGGGGGAACTATCAGACACAGATAAGAGACATATCTAGGTTATTATTACTATCCTATGATAATAGGAGGAGCTCCAATGATAATGGTTCCCTTCAAAACCAGTACCCCATAGATAACATAGTAATTACTTCCATTTATGACGTCACATCGGGCATGGATTTCAAACAGACACTTTTAAACAAAAAATGGATGACATTACTAGTAGGCCTAATTGTGGAGTGCCCCTTTTGAATTATGAGGATGACTAATTTCTCCCCATTTTACTTTCTCTTTGTCTTCCTCTCACCTGTCTCTCCTGTTTTCTACACAGCTATTTGTTGCTATGGCAGCATAATACACTCGGCGTCTAAATATCATGTTGCTTCGTGATTGTGGTGTTGCCTTAGTATTTGAAAAGTTTGCCATATAAGGGAAGGGGTATTTTGTGTAGGGCATTGAGGACATTGTGGTATTGAATATGACCCCTAGTCCTGGAGCCCTGGTGTAGTTAGTGTTAAAGAGAAACTACCTCCTCCTTTCCTTATTAAAATCACTGATCTGACATGACTAGGAAGGTGACGGCAAAGTAGTAGAAACCTTACTTTCACCCATCCCGCCATGTTAGATTAGTGATTACTTAAAGTTAAGATGAGGCTTTTGTCAAAGTACTGACATGGCCACTGTCTAGAGCTGAGAGCACAGGAAGGGGCTGTGTGTCTGTGGCGCAGGCTGCTGGTTTGTCTAAAAGAGGAACCCGGCCGTGTCTCTCAGTGCAAAGAGGGGTCACGTGTAGGCAGGAGCAGAGAACCCCATTTACAGGAAATGGAAAGAGAAAGGAATGAATCTGAGGAAAACGGCTTCCCTCCCTCACTTCTTGTTCAGACGCCCACACTGTATCTTTCTTAATGTCTAATTGTCTGCTGTACCAGGGCTTATCCTCCCTCTTTACCAAGACTAGTTGATACAACAATCTATTGCCATCAGCTGTTATACCTACATATTGTTCATGAAATGTTGCCTCTTTTTAAATGTTTTCTACAGATCTCTCATGATGGTTTAGGCTCTAGTTTCCTGTCCCCTTGGAGGTACCAAAGCCAGGTCTTCTGATGCTTGTTTCCTTCAAATAATCTATTTCCTGATAGTTTGTCACTCCCCTCATCCCCAACCCTTGTGCTGCTCTGAACAGATTGTCTCAGGCGTATGTTATGTGTGATTCAGATCTCTAGCAGCACAGTTAAATGGTAATGAATCTCACCATGTCTCAGACCCATCTGTGCCTCAGAATGAGGTGATGAGAGAACAGATTTACCAATATCCTAAAATTAGTGAACTAGATTGAAACCGATCATTCATTTCAGACCATCGGTGGTTCTTAGGTCTTGCCTGTCATAGGGGCTCGGCGCTATAGTTTTCACTCCAAAAACAGAAGGAAGGTTGGACAGCATCACCCATATATTCACTGCACTAGAACAATTTATCATTTCTATTTGGATGAAAAGCACAGGCTAATTTTATTTTTAAGTTGACCAAGTCTTTGTCCAAGCACCTTTTTGTGTAAGAAACAGACATTTTATAAACAAATCAACTATAATGTATAGTTTTTGTCTCCCTCGTCTGTTTCTTTCTCTTCTCCTTAGATTCACTCTATTCACCAGCGGCGAAAGGTTTCTGGTCGGAGTAAAAACTTTGACCAGCTGGTGACTGAGCTGAAGACGGGGGTCCGGATCCGTGATCGGGGGGCTCAGACCCAGGAGGGGAGCGGCTCAGGCCGGTCCCCCAGCCCAGAGGCCCACAGGGACCCCCCAGCTACCCCCCACTGCAGGAGGCCTCTCACCAACAACCCTGCCTTCAGGTGGGGGACTAATGTTATCAGCTGTGGTCAAATCATAGTAAAGATACTTGTGGTACCTACTTGTGGTAGATGTGGACAAAATATAAATGTGTGTGTTCAGTCGGTCCAGGGCTTCTTCAGAGAGCGCTCCAGAGGAGGACAAACCTCGTCAAGAGGAGGGTAGCACCCAAGCCCCATCACCCCTCACCCATGGGCGCATTTCCAGCGATGAGAGCGAGGGAGAGGGGCCTGAGGAACCAATCGAATACCCCTCGTCCTCTTGGCACCCCAAACCAGCCGCGGTAAGATTACAGGATGTCAACAACCACTCCTAGTATTATCACTGCAGTATGGTGACCTTTTGACAGCTGTAGAACGCAGGGATGTTGCCAACACTGACTGTGTTATCACTCCCCTAACACCCCGTGCTCTGTCTCCTCTCCTCTACCTAGGGGTGTTCGTTTGGCAGTCATGTGATGGGTCATGGTATGTACACCTTTGACCGGCGGCTCCACCACCTTCGGTCGGCTCTCAATGCCATGGTGGAGCAGCACATCAGCGCACACCTCTGGAAGTAAGATTTCTTTCAATGTGTGTCCTGTGGTAACAGTATACAAGGTCTACTGGTGTAGCTGTTTGGCATAACCGCTACATGGTGCTGTTCGAGTGCCGTTTTTCTGATTTGTTTCCTCTCTGAACAAACTATTGAATTGTAGTTTTCTGTCTGGATCTAATACAGATATATTTTCTATCTGCAGGAAAATACCTCAAGCGTCAGACCTCCAGTCCCAAAGTCCCTCTGCGAAGAGCATCTCCTCTCCCTCCTCCTCATCCTTTTCTTCCTCTCTGCATTCTAAAGTCCGGACAGGAAGCCACAGAATCCCCCCATCCCTCAGGCCTTCCTCTTCCTCCCACAGACCAGAGAAGGAGACACGCCTACAAATCTCCTCCCACTCCACAGCCATTAACCAATCAGAGAATTCCAGTGGCAGTGGCAGCCATATTGTAGCCCCTGCGCCCCCTCCTGTCCGTCAGGCAGGTCCAGGGCGGCCGCCAGGTCCCGGGAGGCCCAAGAACCCGGTGGGGCGACCCAGCAAGCAGCAACTGAGACTCAGAGAGGAGGCTGCTGCTGCCGCCGCCGCAGCACTCCGTAAACGTAAAGCCCCGTCACAGGAGGGTGAGCACTCCGGCCCAGACAGGAACTCTATCATCCTCCAGGACAGGGGACGGCCCACATCCACTTCCTCTAAGACCGCCCCGCCCACCCCTCACAGCCAGACCAATGGCACGCTCTCCCCCAGCAGCAAACCCCGCCCCCAGCCATCCCCCTCGGAGCCCCATTCGCCAGCAGCTGCCTGGGCGTTTAAACGGATACACCTACCCTCTGGACACTCTTCCTCCCCACCCGACCCTCACTTTCGCGGGGGGGACTCAGGACTGCACGGGAGGGGGGCAACGGGGTACGAGCACAGGGGGCTGGGGAAGAAACGCAAGGGGGGCAGCAGTGAACCCTCTCCCCCCTCCAAACCGCACCGCCTGCCCTCTTCCCCTCGCTCCAATTTCTACCCCTGGAAGGACAGTAAGGGGGGAGCGCTACCTGGCGGGGTGGAGAAGAAAATGGGGACACAGAAGGTGGGTTGAGGCATTTGTTATTCCTATTGTTTACAATTTACGATTATATTATGAATATATTATCTACATATGGTACAAATTATATTGTATGTAATATGTTATCCTAGTTTTTGTGACTATAAAGCAGCCATTTGACTGTCGTTTTCCTGCTCTCTCCACAGCCAAAACTGCACCATTAAGAGTGCCTGCCTTACAAGCCACTGAGGGAGTCAGCCCTGCCTGCACTTTCAGACATCATGCCTCAGACTGTGGCTACAGGACTCAAGAGATGTGTGTGAGTGTGACTGGATATTCAAGCTTATGTTTGTGTGTGTTCAGGTGCGTGTGTCTATTGACTCCTATATGAGAGTATGAGTGTACAGGTAGGTGTGTGAGTGAGAGAGAGTGTTTACGACCAATACAGTATGAGTTATGTGTTGTTCAGTTCCTGAGTCGGATGTGGGTGTGTATGTGAGTTTGCTGTTGTTGGTGAGTGTGTGCAGGACAAAGGGAACACGTGAATTTCTGTGTATGAATTTAGAAATACCTCAAGACCTTCTGGTTATGCTGCTAAATAAATATGTTGGTTTATAAAAATGGATAAAAAATATCCTTTACACATGCTTGAAGTTGTGGCCTTTCATTTATTAGGAGGGAATATCATTTTTTGCACCCTTGATATACCAGATCATAAAACTACCCCTTCCTAAATATTAGCTGACCAGACAGTTACTCATGTGTCCCAAATACCGGCTTCTTTTATACAAGCATGGCAGTCTGAGAAATTATCTCACTGTATTGTCTAATTACTGTTGTATGACGCCAGTATATTAAGTAGTGACAGACCGGTTGGGTAGCCTACACACCTGTGCGTCAAGGTGCGACAAGGCGCGACAAGGAGCGCTCAGGTAGCATGTCATCGCTCACGTGGACCGCATTCCTTCATGCCATGTTAATGCAATTGGGGCCACTCCCTTTTAAGAGCAATGAGTTAGAGGTTGTGTTTTTTAAAATGGTATAGACATATTTACTAATGCTCGTTCATATTAACCGTTACGTTTTTTATACAAGTATTATAACGAGTGCGTCCAATTAGGACAATGCGCGCTCTTCCTGGTAGGATACCGGCTCGTGCTGCTGGAGATATCTCCCTGATCTGAGGTGATTTTTTTTGGTCTGACGTCGCAGTTTTTTCCCCATCCTCTCTAAAAGGTCGTCACTAGTTATCACAGTCATAAACCCCGCCCATTTCTACATTTGATCTTATTAAAATGTTATTTTAAACTTAACCTCAATGCAAACCTTAATCTCAAATGAAGACCAAAAACCTCATTTTAGTTTGTTTTCATTAATGATTTATTACGATATAGCCATTTTGACTTTGTGGCTGTTCTATCTAGTGGAAACCTGTAAAATGTCTCATCCACCAATTGGTCCTACCCAGGAAGTGGATTGAAGAACCCGACCTGATCGACTTGAACCAGCAGTAGTACAGTATCATTGCAGGTGCCCAGGACTAAAAGTAGCTGCTAGACTTAAACTGTTTTATCTGCGGGATGTCCCGGAATGAAACCGGCCGGCTTGGAATTTGATTTTGTTTACGGAGGTGCGGAACAGGAAAACACTGCCGTTTTATAATCTCTTAAACGGGAGGCGATTTACTGTCGTGTTTCGACTAATCCGTTGGAGAGATTGCATGCCTATTGTTTCGCGACATCGTTTTCTTGTGTTGTTTTGGTCAACAGTTTGTTTGTGATACAATTTGAAACATTGTTGCAGCGCTAGAGTCCCCAGCGCGGTCACAGGTAGACTTGGCGCCAACAGTTCAAGAAGAATAACTGACCAGATTAATCTTCTACTGTTCGCCATGTATCTGCAACTGTACACAGACCACCGGTTTGTCATTGTACACTCAGCATGAATGCTCTCAGGTAGCCGGCCGCCGAGGGGAGATGCGGGCAGATGTGGAGTACAGCCCGGTTGGCGAGGGGCTGGGGATGAGCGAGTTCTGGCTCCATGTGTGGATGCGGAGGGTCGCCGTGATCGCTGCCCATGTCATTGCCTTGGGTCTCACTGTGCTGATTTCACTACTGTCCCGCCCTGGAACAAGTGAGTTCTCTTCTTAATGTTGTCTGTCACTACAACTACTGGCGTCATACAACAGTAATTTGTTGGCCTATTGACATGACATCCTAAACTTTATAAAGCACAAAACCTGCAGGCCTGGTGAACTGGTGGGTGCAAGGTTTTGTTCCAGACCAGCACCTCAAGTATTGCTCAAGTATCAATTATTAGAGTGTTACTCTGGTGCTGGGCTGGAGCATAAACCAGCAAACCATTGATCCCAAGGACTAGGGTTGATGACTGCAGTAGTAACCTACATTTTGACATTTAAACAATGCATCTGTGTTTCAGGTCTCTTTTCCTGGCATCCTGTTTGTATGTCTATCGCAGTAAGTGATCCTGATGACATAAACATGACAAACACTGGCAGTAGTGTGCCACTATACCAAAATACCAGCTACTTCTAGTCTTACGTAAGGTAATGTCACTGTGGGAGATTAAGCTCTACGACCATCTTATTTCCGCTGCGACATGTGTACGCTGCCATGCCTCTCCGACACGGAGAGCCTGCGGAGGAATTATACATCCACCTCTCTCTACTTCTCTCTCTCCTTCTTTCTCTCTTTTCTCTCCTCTTCTCTTTTTCCTATCCCCCTCTCTCTATCTGTCTCTTTAATAATGGATAGAACAGTGTGGAACAGAGGGGTGAAGTACACCCTTAGCCCTGGGCTGATGATGTTACCAGGAGATGTTCCATTGTAACTTGATAGTATTTGTTTACAAATACAATTTTATTTGTCACATGCGCCGAATACAACATGTGTAGTATACCTTACAGTGAAATGCCTACTTAGAAGCCCTTAACCAACAATGCAGTGTTAAGTAAAAAATTTTTATAGATACATTTAAAAAAAATTAAAGAGCAGCAGTAAAATAACAGTAGCAAGGCTACATATATTTTTTTACATTTATAGTCATTTAGCAGACGCTCATATCCAGAGCGACTTAAAGTTAGTGAGTGCATACATTTTCATACTGGCCCGCCGTGGGAAACGAACCCACAACCCTGGCGTTGCTAGCGCCATGCTCTACCAACTGAGCTACAGGGGACATACAGGGGGTACCGGTACAGAGTCAATGTGCGGGGGTACAGGTTAGTCGAGGTAATTGAGGTAATATGTACATGAAGGTAGAGTTAAAGTGACAATGCATAGATAATAAACAGAGAGTAGCAGCAGCGTAAAAGGGGGATTAGCTGTTCAGGAGTCTTGTGGCTTGGGGGTAGAAGCTGTTAAGAAGCCTTTTGGACCTAGACTTGGCGCTCCGGTACCACTTGCTGTGCGGTAGCCGAGAGAACGGTCTATGACTAGGGTGGCTGGAGTCGTTGACAATTTTTAGGGCCTTCCTCTGACACCGGCTGGTAGCTTGGCCCCAGTGATGTACTGGGCCGTACGCACTACCCTCTGTAGTGCCTTGCGGTCAGAGGCCGAGCAGTTGCCATACCAGGCAGTGATGCAACCAGTCAGGATGCTCTCGATGGTGCAGCTGTAGAACCTTTTATTTACAAACATTGGAGTGAAACAAGCTTATATTTTGAGCACTATGGGGTACGACAGTTGAACTAAGCTCATGAGGCATTAATAAGTTATATTCTTACATTACATTTTAGTCATTTAGCAGACGCTCTTATCCACAGCGACTTACATTTAGTGAGTGCATACATTATTATTATTTTATTTTTTAACCCTGGAAGACTGACAGGGCGCTGTATTGAAGCCACGGGGCAGCCATCTTGGTACTCCTCCATTGTTAAAATAAAATAAAAAATATTTTGAAAGCTATAGAAATGCGTTTATTAATGTTTACATTTGTTTTTGACATGTTTATGCTATTATACACCTTATTGCATACTTTTAAATTAGCTAAACATAAAAAAGAAATATAACATTTTCCTTAAAGTACATTTTAGAGAGTACTAATAGTAACATTAGTACAAAAAAAATAATACTTGTTGCCTGGTTCACCAACTACTTCTCAGATAGAGTACAATGTGTCAAATCGGAGGGCCTGTTGTCTGGACCTCTGGCAGTCTCTATGGGGGTGCCACAGGGTTCAATTCTCGGGCCGACTCTATTCTCTGTGTATATCAATGATGTCGCTCTTGCTGCTGGTGACGCTCGGATCCACCTCTCTCTCTGCAGACGACACCATTTTGTATACATCTGGCCCTTCATTGGACACTGTGTTAACAAACCTCCAAACGAACTTCAACGCCATACAGGTGTGGGCGGCAGGTAGCTTAGTGGTTAAGAGCGTTGTGCCAGTAACCGAAAGGTCGCTGGTTCTAATCCCCGAGCCGACTAGGTGAAAAATCTGTCTGTGCCCTTGAGCAAGGTACTTAACCCTAATTGCTCCTGTAAGTCGCTCTGGATAAGAGCGTCTGCTAAATGACCTTTTTATTTTATTTTATTTACAACACTCCTTCCGTAGCCGCCAACTGCTCTTAAATGCTAGTAAAACTAAATGCATGCTCTTCAACCGAACGCTGCTTGCACCCGCCCGCCCGACTAGAATCACTACTCTCGGCGGGTCTGACCTAGAGTATGTGGACAACTACAAATACCTAGGTGTCTGGATAGACTGTAAACTCTCCTTCCAGACTCACATTAAGCATCTCCAATCCAAAGTTAGATCTAGAATATGCTTCCTATTTCGCAACAAAGCCTCCTTCACTCATGCTGCCAAACATGCCCTCGTAAAACTGACTATCCTACCGATCCTTGACTTCGGTGATGTCAAATTGCATGTAGTCTATCACAGTGCCATCCGTTTTGTCACCAAAGCCCCATATACTACCCACCATTGTGACCTGTACGCTCTTGTTGGCTGGCCCTCACTACATATTCGTTGCCAAACCCACTGGCTCCAGGTCATCTATAAATCACTGCTAGGCAAATCCCTGTCTTATCTTAGCTCACTGGTCACCATAGCAACACCCACCCATAGTCTGCGCTCTAGCAGGTATATCTCACTGGTCATCCCCAAAGCCAACACCTCCTTTGGCCGCCATTCCTTCCAGTTCTCTGCTGCCAATGACTGGAACGAACTGCAAAAATCTCTGAAGCTGGAGACTCTTATCTCCCTCACTAACCTTAAGTGTCAGTTGTCAGAGCAGCTTACCGATCACTGCACCTGTACACAGCCATTCTGAAACTACCTCATCCCCATATTGTTATTTATTTTACTCATTTGCACCCCAGTATCTCTATTTGCACATCATCTTTTGCACATCTATCATTCCAGTGTTAATACGACATTGTAACTATTTTGCACTATGACCTATTTATTGCCTTACCTCCATAACTTACTACATTCGCACACACTGTATATATATTTTCTGTTGTATTTTTGACTTTATGTTTTGTTTACCCCATATGTAACTCTGTGTTGTTGTTTTTATCGCACTGCTTTGCTTTATCTTGGCCAGGTCGCAGTTGTAAATGAGAACTTATTCTCAACTGGCTTACGTGGTTAAATAAAGGTGAAATAAATAAAGAAATAAAGAGTTAATTTGTGGAATTTAACTTAATGCGTTTGAGCCAATCAGTTGTGTTGTGACAAGGTAGGGGGGGTATACAGAAGATAGCCCTATTTGGTAAAAGACCAAGTCCATATTATGGCAACAACAGCTCAAATAAGCAAAGAGAAACAACAGTCCATCATTACTTTAAGACATGAAGGTCAGTCAATATGGAACATTTCAAGAATTTTGAAAGTTTCTTCAAGTGCAGTTGCAAAAACCATCAAGCGCTATGATGAAACTGGCTCTCATGAGGACCGCCACAGGAATGGAAGACCCAGAGTTACCTCTGCTGCAAGAGGATAAGTTCATTAGAGTTACCAGCCTCAGAAATTGCAGCCCAATTAAATGCTTCACAGAGTTTCAAGTAACAGACACATCTCAACATCAACTGTTCAGTGGAGACTGTGTGAATCAGGCCTTCAAGGTCGAATTGCTGTAAAAAGAAACCACTTCTAAAGGACACCAATAAGAAGAAGAGACTTGCTTGGGCCAAGAAACACCAGCAATGGACATTAGACCGGTGGAAATGTGCCCTTTGGTCTGATGAGTCCAAATTTTTGATTTTTGGTTCCAACCGCTGTGGCTTTGTGAGACACTGTGTGGGTGAACGGATGATCTCTGCATGTGTATTTCCCACCGTAAAGCATTGAGGAGGAGGTGTTATGGTGTTGGGATGCTTTGCTGGTGACACTGTCTGTGGTTTATTTAGTATTCAAGGCACACTTAACCAGCATGGCTACCACAGCATTCTGCAGCGATATGCCATCCCATCTGGTTTGGACTTAGTGGGACTATCATTTGTTTTTCAACAGGACAATGACCCAACACATCTCCAGGCTGTGTAAAGGCTATTTTACCAAGAAGGAGAGTGATGGAGTGCTGCATCAGATGACCTGGCCTCCACAATCCCCCGACCTCAACCCAATTGTGATGGTTTGGGATTAGTCGGACCTCGGAGTGAAGGAAAAGACTGTTGGATCAGCATTCCAAGTGAAGATGGTTGAGAGAATGCCAAGCGTGTGCAAAGCTGTCATCAAGGCAAAGGGTGGCTATTTGAAGAATCTCAAATATAAAATGTATTTTGATTTGTTTAACACTTTTTTTGGTTACTACATGATTCCATATGTGTTATTTCATAGTTTTGATGTTTTCACTACTATTCTACAATGTAGAAAATAGTAAAAAATAAAGAAAAACCCTGGAATGAGTAGGTGTGTCCAAACTTTTGACTGGTGCTGTACGTAACAACACTGTCCATTGTCTCTCGGTGTTAAAGCCTCTGTCGGTGCGTTATCCAGTCGTCCTCTGTCTCTTAGTGGCTTATTCTTAGCATGAACTCCTGACCCTACAGAGATGCACAACAAATGTCTCCCTCTCTCTCCCTCCCTTTCACACATACATAAACAGCTTGAGGTAACATCAGAGTGAAAAAATTCAAAGTTTAAGGGTGATTTAATCTCTCATCCTCTCCTTCAATTCTTAACCCTCTGATTATCCTTTGATTGTCTTCCCCCTCTCTTCTCTCAGTACCTCCTGTGCCTGACCGAGGGGATCCTCCTCTTCTCTCCCGATGGGACTCCATTCTGCTTCAAGGCCCGGAAGGGTAAAGCCCGTCTGCACTGGTTCATCCAGGCCCTGGTCCTATTGGCTGCAGCTACCGGCATGGGCTTCATGGTGGCCAGCAAGAACGTGTCAGAGTGCCCCCACCTGGCCACCTGGCACAGCCTGTTGGGTGTTGGTACCCTGGCTGCCACTGCCCTCCAGGCCGCCTGCGGCATCTGCCTCCTCTTCCCCAAGCTGCTCAAGCTGTCCCCGTCGCGGCTCAAGCTCTACCACGCCACCTGTGGCCTGGTGGTGTACCTGCTGGCGACTGTGACCGTGGTGTCAGCCATGTTTTCGGACTGGTTCCAGGCCACGGTGAAGGGGGTGGTGTGGTACGGCTTCCTGCTGCTGCCCCTGTTCCCAGCCCTGGTGGTCATGAACCAGATCACTAACGCCTACCTGCCACGCAAGAAGATCACCACCTGAGATAGGATGTAGACTCGCACATACAGTAGAGAACAGTACATACAGTAGCCAATAGACACAGACATACATACTAGGTGTCTTAAAAGATAGACACAGTCAGACATACAGGTAACTGCCAAAATATAGGAAAAACCAACATAAAGTGTCTTTATGTTTTGTATGATTACATTTATTTTTTTAAACAATATAGATATATATGGTCCTCTGTAGCTCAATTGGTAGAGCATGGCGCTTGTAGCGCCAGGGTAGTGGGTTCGATCCCCGGGACCACCCATACGTAAAAATGTATGCACACATGACTGTAAGTCGCTTTGGATAAAAGCATCAGCTAAATGGCATATTATTATTATTTTTTATATACAGACGAAAGAAAACAGACGCACACAAACATCAACGACATCACACCTGCCCAGACCCACACGTTCCCACCGCATCTATCTCCAGTGATATAGAACGTGTGAACATGCAGGCTGAGCAAACGTTTAACAGAGAACACACAAGAAACATAAAGCAAGTACTTCTTTGTACTTTGAGGCACTGTGCCTTTTTAGGGCTTATAAACTCCAACTCGTCTCCTAATGTACCAAAAGACTGTGGATTATGTCATTGTAAAGACATTGGAGAAAGCCTGCCACTTAAAGCTGCAATATGTAACTTTAATAAATGTACAGAAATGTGAGTTATAGATCTATCGTTTTCATTGAAAGCAAGTCCAAGAAGCAGTAGAATGTTCTATGGCTCTTTCTCTCCCGTTTTAGTTTAGTTCTTCTACTTCACTATATACTGTATCTGGATGGTTGAAGGGAATACAGTACCTACTTTACTACTGTGTATCAACCTGAATGTGTGGTTGTGAGCAGAGCTGCTATGTGGATGTGTATTTTACCAACTATTTTTATCAGGGGTCGGCAACTAGATTGAGCCGCTGAATGTTTTTTGTCGGAGCAAATTGTCGGGGGGGGGTGGAACATAATTATGATAATTTGAACACTGCAAATTGACCAAAAAGAGATTGTATTTGAAAATAACAATCATTTCATACCTCGATTACATTGAGACACGATCACATATCTTTCTTTTTTTTGTGGGAATACATGGGAACAGATTTCCTGAATTAAACTAATTTTTAGCTGAATTCCTGGTGATATTAGTATTTTTTTTAACCTAAAACTAAAATACCCCCCACAAAAACATCGGGCCGGTTTTGGCTTGCGGTTTGCTTTATATGTTCTATTTATGATTTTTCTGTGTGTTGTCAGTCAGCTTATGTTACTGAACATTAGCCTCAGTGACACGTTTCAAAAGTTGCATGTCTGTTTTTTTAACCCATGTATGTTTAACCCGTGCTGGTTGTCTTGTCCGAGTCAATGGGAAAAGTGTGTGTGGCTTGTGGCAGTTTCATTGACACTGGAAGCTATTAGCTTTTTCCAAGTGAGGAGGTGTCTCTTTGTTTGAAACCCCTGGCGCACAAAGGCCTATTGGATGTACCAGCACGATGCCTAAACTTCTCCCAGTCTTATTCAGTAGGTAGAAACATGTAACAAACCGTCAAAATACAATGATCAATTTACCTTTATCTATTTAAAGAAATGGTGACCAAATACCAGCATGTTGTTGGTCCATTTGGACCATTTCTATACTTGATAAAGTGTAAATAAGTAAAACTACACACGAAAAGGGAATAATATAGTATAAGAGACCATAATCAAACAAAATGTTAAGGAGTTGCCTGTTTTTTATTCATCAGGTCTTCACATCTTCCCTGCAGTGGCAGGAGTAAGGGAGATGGTTCTTAATTTTATATTCAGCGCCCACCGAGACCTCTGTGTGTATTCCCTGCTATGCTATATAATGTAGGTCCCTCAAACTCAACTCTGGACCTCGAAGCCAGTTCCACTGAGTTTTTTATTTAAATTGTTCCCCTGTAATCAGGGACTGATTTAGACATGAGAAAATCAGGTGGGCACAATTAATTATCAGGTAGAACAGAAAACCAGCAGGCTCCAGATCTCATAGGGTAAGAGTTGAATACCACTGATGTAGGTCAAAGTTCGCAAGCAGTAGCTAAAGTTATTTGGTGTAGGGCTAATAAAATGGCATTTGGTACCCGTGTTGTGAAACCCAGTTCCTTGATGAACTACTAAAATCTCTTCTCCGCTTGACTTGCCTGCAAAACCAATGCAACTCCCTTTTTAAATTCTGCTTCTGTCCTCATTTTAACTAACACAAGGCTTGTTGCGTATACTGACTAGGAGTGTGGCTGAATTGAGTTTCTAAGGTGGTCTTTCAGTTTGACTATATGTTCTAATAGTTATATGGTATGAGTCTGTCATGTTTGAGTTGAGGGGACCAGGAGAATTGACACACTGTATGTATACTTGCAGAATATATTTATTTTCCAAATGTAACAAGTTCACAGTACAATTTCTTCAATGTTTGAAATGAGCACCTGGTGAATGTAGGTAGGCTGTTCTACTCAGGGCTATGACCTTCAAACTCTGCTTATTAGCGTAGGAAGAAGTGATCTGTGTTTGAGGGCAACATCGACCTCAAGTGTGTTCATTGAATAAGCTGAGTATTTATTCATGATCAGTAATCTGGGGTCGTTTTAAGGAGGCACCAATACCTCCTCACAATAAGCCTCGTATGTACACTGCGCTATGATTCTGTGTAGGGAACCATTCACGTAAGCTCGCGGCCATTGACAGAACTCCAAGGTTGCTGTGAACCTGCTGATGTGTTGTCTCAATAAAAACCTTCAATCCCATTATTTGTTTGAGGAATAATTCTACTGTAGGTAACAATTATTTGGGATAAAGATTTTGGATTCTGGAATGTATAGTGTTTAAATAAAACTGTCATACGGTGCTGGATTTCACAGATTGATCAAACAACTGTGTACAACACTCATAGCAAACCTTCACACCCCAGTTCTAAAGGAAATAAATACAGAAAGATTCATACACAGCTCTACATAGGGCAATAATAACACAGTGACTGATTATTAATAAAAAGACTATCCTGAGGGTTCAATGGTTACGATTTGTCGCTTAGTGTATAAGTGTACACACCTTCATCTCAATATTTACAGCTCTTACAGGATACAAAGCCAGTGGCATTGCCAGTGTCACTTGGTGTAGAACAAGTTTGTTTCATTCATTCCAAGCTGCCACTATTGCTAGGACAGTTCCTCTTTCTCCAGGAAGTAGAGACCAGGGGTCAGAGGTAACTGGTCATCTCCACATATAAAGGTGACGGTTCCGTTCAGCAGGTCCTCCATGTTGACCACCATCACCTCCATGCTTGTGTAACAGTGTTGCTTCCGTCCCTCTCCTCGCCCCTACCTGGGCTTGTACCAGGGACCCTCTGCACACATCGACAACAGTCACCCTCGAAGCACCGTTACCTGTCGCTCCACAAAAGCCGCGGCCCTTGCAGAGCTAGGGAAACAACTACTTCAAGGTCTCAGAGCGAGTGATGTCACCGATTGAAATGCTACTAGCGCGCACCGCTAACTAGCTAGCCATTTCACACCGGTTACACTTGAGAGACCATCCTCCGCGTCTCCCAGAGCAACAAACACCTGCTGGGATTGGTCCACAGAGATCACTTGTTCCGCCCCACCAGCAGTGTCCTCCTCTGTCTCAATCACCTGATAGGAGGAATGAAATGTCAATCACATTTCACTGTCTTGCCATAGTTACTAACATAGATATACTGTATGAGATAGGAGAAAACATATAGGAGTGCCTAGAGCCAAAGCCACCCCCCGTCGTCCCAACCTCTATTCAATAGTGTAGATCTGACAGGATTGGATAGGTGTTGTAGTCCTCTGTAGTGCAGTTGGTAGAGCATGGCGCATGCAGCACAAGGATAGTGCGTTCGATTCCTGGAACCACCCATATGTAAAAAAATATATACACGTTTGACTGTAAGTTGCTTTGGACATTATACGCAATAGAGTCCCACAGTATGAGTCATAATACCCATAAAACCTAGCGGTCAAATAGGGAAATGTTTCGTGTAGGCTTACCCTGGCGTGACGTTTTGATAACCGTGTAAATCTCTCTCGGACAAGGTGACTTTTATCAATATATTCGCCTGTATTTACACCCCAAAAATGAAATACTGATTAGCTGCTAATGTGGCTATCATAAAGAACAACGAATGCCATGATGTTCTGGACGAGACTGCCGAATCGAGGCAAAGCTAAGAATCTCTGGATTCCCCCTAAAAAAAAAAAAAAAAAAAAGAATAAACTATCTAATGTTAGTTTAATGTAGTAATGAATAAATTGGCTACATTTCTTTAAATGGGCAATTCTGTGAACTGTCTTGTGCAAGTTTAAATTGATACAATACATGCTAGCAAAGGTGTCAGCTAGAGATGATGTGCAGGAGCTTGCAAGGATTTGTGGTTTTGCATGATGTCTACTTTGATGCCAATTAGCATTTTCGAATCTGAGAGTAAATAGAGCCGAATATATTGATAAAAGTCACCTTGTCCGAGAGAAATTTACACGGTTATCAAAACGTTACACCAGGGTAAGCCTACACGAAACACAGACATTATTTTAAGTGTTTCTAAAGTCCTCTATGAGAAAAATGAATGGTGGAAAAACGATTAGAACCATTTCCCTGGTTGACCACTGGGTTTTATGGGTATTATGAAACCTCCACTGTGGGGCTCTATATGGTGAAGAATTATACTTAGTCTATCAGAGGGATAGATGGAGCCATTACCCCTATTCAATCCCTTCGGAAGTGCAAAGGGGGTAGAGTTTAGGGATTGACTTAGGATGTAGCCTTACCGTCTGGGAGGTGGTCTGCTCCTGCTCCTCTATCGTCCCTATGTGGCAGGAGAGGAAGGGCTTCTGGAGCTGCAGCTGGCAGGGGCAGACCAGCGGGCAGAGAGAGCAGCCGAATGCTGCCCCCTCCTGGCTGAAATGCTCGGTGCTGGCATGCTCCTACATTTCAGGCTCGCAGGGGAAGAGGGCTGGGCAGTACAGGCACTTCACCACTGAGGAGTCAGAGGATACAGGGGAGAGGAGCTCAATACACATGCACACAGAGCAGACACGGCCACAGACAGATTGAACTGTATGTTAGGAGTATAGCAGTATTACATCCTCACAGCTTTTACCTGATGGCAGGTCTGGATTCCCCACCAGCATCCCGTCAGAATCAAACATGCCTTTAGGAGGCACAAGGGAATGAAAGGAATCCATAATACACAAAATACAAATACATTATTTGAGATGAAATCCAAAAATAGTATATTCCTTACAACAGGGATGCACAACACTAATTTGAGAATAACAAAAAATAAGATATTACGGCAGTTGTGTGCCCAAGCTAATATGGGGGTGGTTGTAATGCAATAGCATGGACAGGCTAGGCCTGGAAGCATGGGCCTTTCCTGGGTCTCTCCCCTGTCGGTGGGTCTGTCCTGCAAACACCTCCGGGTGGTTAGTACGGTTATGGTACCACAGCCTCGACATTTGCTGTGGACAGAGAGATATAATAAGTAATATATAGTATATGCCACTTAGCAGACACTTTTATCCAAAGCAACTTTAAGTCATGCGTGCATACATTTGGATCCTGATGGATTTTGGGATCCTGAGCGGCGCAGCGGTGTAAGGCGTCACTACAGACCCGGGTTCGATCCCGGGATGTATCACTACAGTCCCAAAGGGCGGTGCACAATTGGCCCAGTGTCGTCCGGGTTAGGGGAGGGTTTGGCCGGGGTAGGCCATCATTGTAAATAAGAATTGGTTCTTAACTGACTTGCCTAGTTAAATAAAAGAAAAATACATTTTACATATGGGTGGTCCCGGGAATTGAACCCATTATCCTTGCGTTGCAAGCGCCATGCTTTACCAACTCATCCTTTAATAGTAAAGCATGAAAATAAAGGTGTGTGTGCTATAGGCCAATGTGTGTTTGAGAACAAGTATCTGTAATAGAGACGATGAAAATAAGGGGGGCATAGGAAGTGTGTGAGAAAGCAGTCGATAGAGGAGGAGGGCTGGCGAGTGGGGTACGGTGTGAGTAGGGTGGGGGAGATGCGGCGGAGTGTCCGGTCGGACGGAGCAGTGGCGCTCTGGGTGAGTCGGCGGTCATCTCTGCATGCGTTGCCGGATGCCGCCGTGCATGATTAGTGCGAAGAGCTGGTGCGCAGTCGTGCTTAGTAGTAGGACGTGGGAGGTGGCGGAGTAGGTTGGCGGCATGCGTCTGATCGAGTCTATGAGGAGGCGTGAAGAGGAGACGAGGGAGAGCCGAGAGACTAGGAGTGGCGTATGAGGGCAGGGGGTCGGGCGGAGAGCGAGTGGAGGCGAGGAGCAGCTGCAGCTGGAGAGATGAGCGGATGCGGGCAGTGGAGTGGAGCAGATGAGACTCGTATGAGAGGCAGGAGAGGTAGAGAGAGAGGCGTGAGAGCAGTAGACGAGCTAAGACGAGGAGGCGGACGCGGGGCGAGAGAGAGAGAGAGAGTGAGGAGAGGAGGGAGAGGGGAGTGAGAGAGGAGGGTGAAAACGAAGACCGATTGAGAGAAATGAAAAAATGTTCTCTGTGTCGTTTCTAACTTAGAAATAAATCTGTCTTTGTAGGAGTATAAAAAGGAGTATGTGAGAGGTCTGTAGGTGAGCAGAGAGCCCGTTGGCCTGGCTGAAGACTTTGCCACACTCCCTGCACACGTACGGTTTGTCTCCGCTGTGTGCTCACGTGACGCGTCAGCTCAATTGACTGGGCAAACAGAGCCTCGCAGTACTGACACAAATACATTTTACCTAAAAACCCACACATTACACAAACACATTTGTTTGAGTTTTTTGAGAAACTGTCTTGCTTTGTATATCCTGAGATTTGAGAGCTGTTACAGCTCTTCAATCTGGTGCTAGTGAGTGACTCAGTCTGTGAGTGTGTCCTACCCTCTGAGTGTTTCTTCTTGGTGTGGTAGGCAAGATCGGCAGCCAGACTGAAGCTCATGTCACAGTTTTTGTAGTGGTAAGGCTACTCTCCAGTGTGCAGTCGCATGTGGTTCTTCAGGAACGAGTTGGCCCCGCACTCCTCACACGCAAATGGCTTCTCCTCGAAGTGCTCTGTGCGCTTGTGTTACAGCATACCTGCAGGAATTCACACACTGAGTCAATGAAACTTCAGACACTTATATCACACCAGGTATTCCTGCAGAATGGTTAAGACCTGGTAGTCCTGCTATACATGAGTAATGGGTAAGATGGTGAGTTAATCCCCTTCAATGTAAAGTGTTTAAATACACAGAACCTCTACACCAACACAAAACATTCGCAGCCCTGATCAGGCAAACTTACCTGAGGGGTGAGCGAAGGTCCTGCCACACATATCACAGGACACCTGCGGCCGTTTCTTCTTGGCGGCTTTGGACTCTGGGTGTGCCTTGTTGCGGGTGGAGCTGCAGCGCCTGCAAAGTGGGCAGATCCTCTGGGCACTCAGGGCACTGCAGCATGGCCTCCTGGGACATGGTGCAGTGCTTGGTGTGGGCCATTATACAACACTTGTAGGTAAAGGCCTTACTGCACCAGTGACATGAGTACGGATGGGAGGGGGGGGATTGCTTAACCTTGGATCTACTCTTCCTCTTCCTTTCTTCTCCTTCATTCTTATCTTCCTCTTTGTTATCCTCCTCCTCTTCTCCTTCATCTCCTTCTTCCTGCCTCGGAGCCTGTGTATCAATGCAGTAAATAATTGATGAATTGATTGATCATTAATCTGTTGGCTGAAAAGGGTCTAGACAAGTCCAAACACAACAAAGATGGATGGATCATACAAACACACTCAAGTCAAACACACTTAAGTCAACCTCAGTTGTTGTTGTTGTTGTCTTGCCGAACATGTTGACTAAAGCTGAAACAGACTGGCAACCATGCTGCTGTCCTTATTTCCCCTACTCTGTACCTTTAGCTCCCTGTCTGCTGTTCTCTCCTTTCAGAGTGTGCTCCTGCAGCAGGGTTGCCAAATTGGGGTTACTCACTCTGTTCTGGAGCCTCTGGAACACAGCAGGACCGCCGGGATCTCCCTCACAGCACGACAGTATCACCTGAGATAGATAGAATAATGCTGTAAACGCTGTGGAGGAAGAATGGTTCACACACACAGTGATTGACACACACACTTTAAGGACTGGAGTGTTGTGTTGATTTGTGTGCTCTGTCATATTATAGACCACTGTCTTCCAGTCATGCCAAAGTCTCACCTGTCTCTCATCAGTGGAGATATCGTCCCAGGTCTGCAGTGCTCTCAGCCACTGCTGCGGATAGAGCAGTCTCAGAACTGATCCTCCTTCCTCAGGGCGCGGAGCTGCTGCATCAGCAGCCTGCTGTAATTGGGCAGCTCCATCACAATCAGTTTAGCTGCACAGATATGGGAAAGGAGGAAATATGGAAATGACTGGCAAGCTTCGTTACAACACATTTTAGTCATTTAGCAAACGCCCTTATCTAGTGTGTGTGTGTATGTAATTGATAACAGTACAGTCAAGCTTTGCTTAGATAGCTACTTACTTAAAGTAATGTGATGTGAAAACATTGCATAACACAGTAGCTTAACGTTAGCTAGCTAGTTATCACCAACATTTCTGGTTTTAAAATCTAAAGTAGACCATATGCTCCAACCTAGCCCTGCTTGCATCAGAAGCTAGCTTTCAGGACAGTGGAATAAGGTCACAAATGTCAGAAAGAAACGACAAGCAACAACTAAATAGCAGATCACTCCTAACCAGGACACAATATATACACAAGTCTGCTCTCTCTTTACCTTGAACGTCATTCAAATAACCCGGCTCTTTATGTAAACTCCTTCGATGGACAACCTACCCTCTTCAAAGGGGGTGACACTCTAGATTCAAACTGTTACAGACCTATATCCATCCTGCCCTGCCTTTCGAAAGTATTTGAAAGCCAAGTTAACAAACAGATCACCGACCATTTCGAATCCCACCGTACCTTCTCCGCTATGCAATCTGGTTTCCGAGCTGGTCATGGGTGCACCTCAGCCACGCTCAAGGTCCTAAACGATATAATAACCGCGATCGATAAAAGACAGTACTGTGCAGCCGTCTTCATCGACCTGGCCAAGGCTTTCGACTCTGTCAATCACCACATTCTTATTGGCAGAATACATAGCCTTGGTTTCTCAAATGACTGCCTCGCCTGGTTCACCAACTACTTCTCAGATAGAGTTCAATGTGTCAAATCGGAGGGCCTGTTGTCTGGACCTCTGGCAGTCTCTATGGGGGTGCCACAGGGTTCAATTCTCGGGCCGACTATATTCTCTGTGTATATCAATGATGTCGCTCTTGCTGCTGGTGACTCTCAGATCCACCTCTATGCAGACGACACCATTTTGAATACATCTGGCCCTTCATTGGACAATGTGTTAACAAACCTCCGAACGAGCTTCAATGCCATACAACACTCCTTCCATAGCCTCCAACTGCTCTTAAACGCTAGTAAAACTAATTGCATGCTCTTCAATCGAACGCTGCTTGCACCCGCCCGCACGACTAGAATCACTACTCTCGGCGGGTCTGACTTAGAATATGTGGACAACTACAAATAACTAGGTGTCTGGTTAGACCGTAAACTCTCTTTCCAGACTCACATTAAGCATCTCCAATCAAAAGTTAAATATAGATTCGGCTTCCTATTTCGCAACAAAGCCTCCTTCACTCATGCTGCCAAACATGCCCTCGTAAAACTGACTATCCTACCGATCCTTGACTTCGGCGATGTCATTTACAAAATAGCCTCCAACACTCTACTCAGCAAATTAGATGTAGTCTATCACAGTGCCATCCGTTTTGTCACCAAAGCCCCATATATTACCCACCATTGTGACCTGTACGCTCTCGTTGGCTGGCCCTCACTACATATTCGTCGCCAAACCCACTGGCTCCAGGTCATCTATAAATCACTGCTAGGCAAATCCCCACCTTATCTTAGCTCATTGGTCACCATAGCAACGCCCACCCGTAGTATGCGCTCCAGCAGGTATATCTCACTGGTCATCCCCAAAGCCAACACCTCCTTTGGCCGCCATTCCTTCCAGTTCTCTGCTGCCAATGACTGGAACGAACTGCAAAAATCTCTGAAGCTGGAGACTCTTATCTCCCTCACTAACTTTAAGCATCAGTTGTCAGAGCAGCTTACCGATCACTGCACCTGTACAGCCCATCTGAAATTAGCCCACCCAACTACCTCATCCCCATATTGTTATTTACATTGTTATTTATTTTGCTCATTTGCACCCCAATATCTCTATTTGCACATCATCTTCTGCACATCTATCACTCCAGTGTTAATACACAATTGTAATTATTTTGCACTATGGCCTATTTATTGCCTTACCTCCATAACTTACTACATTTGCACACACTGTATATAGATTTTCTATTGTGTTATTGACTGTACGTTTTGTTTATCCCATATGTAACTCTGTGTTGTTGTTGTTTTTATCGCACTGCTTTGCTTTATCTTGGCCAGGTCGCAGTTGTAAATGAGAACTTGTTCTCAACTGGCTTACCTGGTGTGGGGTTCTATTTTCTTATAACTAGATGTGATGCCTAGCTTAGAAAGAATACATTAATGATTAAACATAATAGGTTTGTACTGTACTGATAATAGATTGTTTAACATAACAATCTGTGATTAATGTGGGGAAATGTTATGGGGGTAGGCTGAGACAGACTTGTGATTCACACAGACACACACACAGCCTCTTTGTTAAACCGCTCAAGGACAGACAATGTCTGAGGTTGCTGACTCGAGACAAGTTGTGGAGATAACAACTAATGCCTGGCAACAGTGAAGCGCCAAGGAGCTGGGACCAGCCTGTGCGCCAACGATAGGCTGAGTAAGTCTAAACCACGCTCAGTCTCTACTCTGATAGGCCAGCAGGGAGCGGGAATTATCTCTGTCAGAGTATTTAAAGAAGAACTTAGAACAATGGCTCAGTTCTCTGACTGCCCTGTGTGGTTTTTCAGTGGGCCCGTATATACGAACATCATATTTACCAATTCAAGTGTTTGCATTAATTAAAATACTAGTCTATTTTAGAAGACGTGTATTGACCTCTTTTTGTTCCTATACCAGATTTGAATTGACGCAACTTAACACTGGTTAAATAATGGTGAAATAAAACATTTAAAAACCTAAACAGCGCAATAAAGCTTCAGTATTTTGAAATGGCGACTGCTCAAACTAAAACTGCGCATACTCTAAAACAGTGGTTCCCAATCTTTTTTTCCTTGGAGCCTCCCCTACTTGTATCTAAGAAAAGCTGAGCACCCCCCCAACCCCAAGAAAAGCTGAGCCCCTACATCAATTATAGTTTTTCTTTCCTTTTCTCTTTGGTTTGTCCTGGTTATCTTTGTGTATAATCAACTGTAGGCCTATACACACACACTGTTACCAAAAGAAGAAGAATGATTCATTATCAGCGTAATAAGTAATTAACAGCACCTATATAGCTCTATCCTAGATCTTCCTCAGACCAATTAACTGAAACGGGGCAGTTTGTTGCATACACACATGCACATCATGTGAACACTGGTTTTCACACAGCTATAATGTATGTGTTATAAAAATAAAGATAAGTAACAATAACAAACAGTACGTTACAATCAATAACTTGTTCCTTCCTTAAAAAACGAATGGCCACCTTGGGCCTGCATACCTCTGACCAGGGATGGGATGTCAAGTGTGATGCTAGTGACAGCCAGCCTAAAGTCCTGGTGGACATCGAGCCTGTTACGGGCTTTTGTTTTTATTGTTACAAGCGCGCTGAAGGCCGTCTCAGACAGGTACGTAGTGCTGAATGGTAGAATAACCCTTGTAGCTGCGCATTTGGCCAGTGTTGGTGCAACAGCGTGTCCTTTGACAATCCAAAACTTTTTGTATCCGTTCTCGTGGAAATATTTATTTGACATAGAATCGGCTTGAAGGTCAGTAAACTCATCTTCACAGCCGAGGTATTCCACATCCTCGAGACTGCAAATATAAGGGTCCATCACCCACGATTCCTTTAATAAGTATTCGTCAACATCGGCAAAACGGGATTTAATTTCCTCCCGAAGCATGTTCATGTGCCTGGCACAGTGCCACCAGACTGTTTCATCAGCAGTGGAAATTGTTGTAGCTTCCCTTTTGACATTTTTCCAACACTGTACTCCAGTTTCCGCACAAAAGCGTCGAGAGAGTATTTGCACTGCATGACGTTTGATTCAGGACCCTGCATCCGCTTGTTTGTCTCATTGTAGAGAGTGAATGTATCCGCTAGGTATGCCGTTTTGATCCAAAACGCATCAGTGGTCGATTGTGATCTTGCAAGAATTCCTTTATTTTTTCCTGCAGTTCCATAAAACGCACAAGCACTTGTCCACGTGAAGCAGTGTTCGATGCGCTTCATCCTCACACAGCTGGGCAAACAGTCTCTTGTTAGTAGGGCGAGCCTTAATAAAGTTTACAACTTTAACAACAGTTGCCAGGGTGTTACTAAGGTCTTCCGAAAGTTTTTTACTGGCCAATGCTTGGCGATGTAGCATGCACTGGAAAATTGCGCACCCCGGGTATGGGGGATTTATTATTTTTATAATTGATGGGATGACTAACTTAGAAAGAATGCATTCTAGACTGTGCTGATGTAGGTTGTGTCACCTGGCAAGCTGTGATTGATGTGAAGAGCTGTTTTAGGGGGTAAAATGAGATAAGGATTTGTGTCTCCAAATACTAGACTATACTGGTCCTTTGTGTTCTGTGAACCATCCTTGGACATAGGAATGGTGTCTAAGGGAGCTGGCTCTTCTCACTATGACAGGTTATGATAATGTTTATGTTTATGTTATGATAAACGTATGCCTGGAAACAGGGATGCGCTAAGAGGCGGGGGACTAGCCTGTGCGCCAATGGATTGGCTGAGTAAGTCTAAACCACGCTCAAGTCTCTACTCTGATTGGCCAGCAGAGAGGTGGGAAACTCTCTCTGTAAGAGTATTTGAAGAACAATCTGAAACAATGGATTTAGTTCTCTGAAGTGCCCTGCGAGGTATTTCAAAGAGCCCGTATATACGAAACATCATATTTACCATTGAAGGTTTTTGCATTAATTAAAATAACTAGTATATCTTAGAAGTCGTGTTGACCTCTTTTGTTCCTAATGCCAGATTTGAACTTGCCAACTTTGACAATTGGTGACTTCCGACGTGATCTGGTAGAAGGGACTTCGCTGGGTATTGTCCGGCCCATTTGGTCACCTCTTTCATTGGACTGTGTGTTTCACAAAAAGTCCGGACTACTTAAAGAAGGTAAGCAGATACCTATTG